TGTCTTCAGTTTCACTAAACATTTCTTCTGTTGTTTCATTTCTACTCCTTTGTACTTTCAGTGTATTTTTGATTTCTGATATCTTAGTACTAATCTTCTGGATTTCTATTTGCTGTTCTTGTATGGCTTGTAATTTTTCATTTATTTAGTCAGTTTGTTCCTGTATCATTTTCCTAAATTCTTCTAATGTTTTGTTTGTGTTTTCCTTAATCTTGTCATTTCCTTGATCTGTCTCTCAGTCCACTGAAGGTACCTGAGCACTTAGGTATTCACCACATGTCTCCTGATGGCTATGATAGAGAACAGGAATGTGTGCATTGATGTCTATTAGCTGTTTGTTTAGAGCAGTTGAGGGTAGGTTGGGCTAGTACTGGCTGCTGTCTATTGTTGATCAGTTGGTGCAGATGCAGGTGGTGGCTCTCACCCACTGGGTGCGGCTGCAGGAGGTGTGGATGTGGTTGGGTCATGTAGGCATGGTTGCTGTCACCTTTCTTTCTTTTTACCACTGGTGTAGTTGCCCATGTAGTCCTTGGCAGGTGGAGCTGAGGTTGGTGCCTTGATTGGAACATCGCTTGCAGATACTCAAAATGGCTATGCTGTCAGGCCAGTTGACAGTCCACAGCTCTGTTTGTCTCTTTATTTGCAGTTTCTATGCAGTTTCTTCTACCAGTAGTATTTAATGCACTTCTTTATCCTTCCCTTGGAAGCTCAGGGTTCCAGAATTATCCTCTGTATCTGTTTCAGTTGGTTTCTCATTTCTTTGTTGTAGAGGGTCTGGGTAGCTTGTCTACGTATTCCATGGTATTGCCAGAAGTCACAACCCATAGTTTTCAGTGACACAATTTAATGGTGATCTCCATGTGATACTTATCTTTCACTTGTTTGTGCTTGCTTTCAATGCCCAATATTTTATATCTCAAAGGTGATTAGGCTTAAGACACACCCTATGCTAATATGACCTCATTAACAAAAAAAGAAAATTCTCTTACAGATGGGATTACATCTATAGGTACAGGAGTTTTTAGGATTACAACACATATTTTCAAGGAACACAATCTAATCGTAACAGTAGAGATCTGAAGCCTAGCTTCTGGAGCGGTAAGATGAAAAGGATGGCAAGGATGTGACTACCAGGCATTACTCTTCCAAGGTGACTTCATGCACAGCATGTACAGAAACCGTGAGCTCCCATGTCATCCATGGGTAACTGAATTTCTTAGATCGATTGTGGAAATCCTCTCTGCTCTGTGCATGTTTGAGCTGCTTCTAACTCTAGGTTTTTGTTCTCTGGGTGATAGAGTACTTAGCATGCATTTGTGCTCATCCGGTTTTTTCTTTTTTCCCCTTTAAATTTTATTTATTTTGTTGTTGTTGATAAAGGAGCTTTGGTAGTCTAGTGGGTAAGGCATTTGGCTGCTAACCATAAGATTGGCGGTTCAAACCCATGAGCTGTCCTGTGGGAGGAAGATGAGGCAATCTAGTACTGTAAAGATTTACAGCCTTGGAAACCCAGTGGGGGTTGCTATGAGTCAGAATCAACTCAATGGCAGTGTTTTGTTTGTTTGTTTGTTGTTGTTGAGAATATACACAGCAAAACATACACCAATTTCTACATGTACAATTCAGTGAGATTGATTATATTCTTCAAGTTGTGCAACCATTCTCACCCTCCTCTTCTGAATTGTTCCTTCTCTCTTAACATAAATTCACTGCCTCCTAAGGTTCCTTTCTAATCTTTCAAGTGCTGTGGTCACTTTGATCCCATATATATAGATCTTAAAAAAGCACTGTGCTTAAGTCAGACCTTTTTCAGTAGTTAAGGTAAACTATTATTTGATTTTAAGAAGATTTCAGATAATATTTTTAGTTTAAGGTTTAAAGATTATTTCAGGGCAGTAGTTTTACAAGTTCATCCAGCCTCCTTGGTTCCAGAATATCTGGATTCCATGGAAAGTTGAAATTCTGTTCTGCATATTCCTCCTTTTGATCAGGCTTCTTTTATGAAATCTTTGATCACAATATTTAGTAATGATAGCCTGGCACTACCTGGTTCTTCTGGTCTCATGGCAAAGCAATTGGAGGCAATTAGCCACATACTCCATATCCTCCTTCTGTTCCTGACTCTTTTTCTTCCTCTGTTTTTCTAGTTCAATAGACACTAGTTGTTGTGGTTTTGATAGCCACTTGCAAGCTTTTAAGAGCCGCCGCCACACACACACACACAACAAACTAGGAGGTAGAACAGAAGCGCTAAACACATTATTAGGCCAGTTAACTGAGATGTCCCATGAAACCATGACCCTAAACCTCTAAACCAAGGAACCAAATCCCATTGAGTGTTTGGTTGTGCATAAGCAGCCTCAGCAGCTTTTCTTTTTTTTTTTTTTTGTCATTGTTGTAAATACTTCTGTCACATAACTTTTAACAATTCAAGCTTTTATAGATGTACAGTTTATTGACAGCAGTAACAATAATCAGCTGTACAACCCTACACTTAAACAATGCAATTTCTCTATCACTGTTAACCCCACTTTCCCCCACTTCGTTCTACTCCTGGTAACCACTAATAAACTTTGGTCTCTATACGTTTGCCTTTCCTTATCTTTTTATATAAGTGAGGTCCTATAATATTTGTCCTTTTGTGATTGGTTTCTTTCTCTCAGTATCATGCCTTCAAGTTCCGACCATATTGTAGCATGTATGAGGACTCCATTACGCCTCCTTGCTGAGTAGTATTCCACTGTATGTGTGTACCACATTTTATCTGTTTATCTGTTGGTGAGCGTTTAGGTTGTTTCTACCTTTTGACTGTTGTGAATAGTGCTGCAATGAATATTAGTGTGCAAGTCTTTGAGTCTCTGCTTTCAAGTCTTTTGGGTATATTCCTAGGAGTGGGATTTCTGGGCCATTTGGTAGTTCTATTTTTAGTTTTTTGAGGAACTGCTACACAGTTTTCAACACCTGTACCATTTTGCATTACCACCAGCAATGATTAAGGGTTCCAATTTACCCAGCTCTTTGCCAACATTTGGTATTTTCTGTATTTAAAAAAAAAAACTTTTTAAAATTATTTTTTTAAATTTTAGCCATCCTAGTGAGAGTGTCTTTGCATCTCTCTGATAGCTAATAATGATGATCATCATTTCATGTATTTGGTGGCAGTTTCAGTGTCCTCTTTTATTCAGGTCCTTTGTCCATGTTGATTGTGTCATTTGTCTTTTTGTTGTTAAATTGTTAAAGTTTTACATGTTTTTGATTATTGAGTCTTGTTGGATATATGTTTTCCAAAGAAACTCCTCCCCATCAATTGTTTTTCTTTTCTCTTTTTGGTAAAATCTTTTGTTGAACAAAAGTTTTTAATTTTTATGAGGTCCCACTCACTGATTTTGTCTTTTACTGTCTGTGCTTTTGTTACTATATTAGATGATCCATTGTTGGAAACTAGGCCTGAAAACATTGCCCCTGCTTTTTCTTCTAAGAATTTTGTGGTTTGAATTTGCACATTTAAGTCCTTAATCCATTTTGAATTTGGTTTTGTGTATGGTTTGAGTGAAGGATCCTTGTCATTTCTCTTCATGTGGAGATCCAGTTTTCCCAACCCCATTTATTAAAGAGACTCTGCTTTCCCCATTGAGTGGACTTGGCACTCTTGTCAGAAATCACTTGCCCATTGTGCTCATCTAGGAGTTCTGGTGGTGCTGAGCTTAAAGCACTGGGCTGCTAACCAAAATATTAGCAGTTTGCATTACCGGCTGTTCTGAGGGAGAAGATGAGGCAGTCTTTTCATAAAGATTTACAGCCTTGGAAACCCTGTGGGGGCAGTTCTACTCTGTCCTGTAGGGTTGTTGTGAGTCAGGATTGACTTGATGGCAGTTCGTTGGTATTGTGCTCATCCAGTTTTATAGGAACCAGGTTACCATCTCAATGCCCGGAGGCAGGGACACTACTTGGTCCCATAGGTTGGGAAATGGAAGAGACAAGGGGTTCTCAGTCCTGTCTGTACATTAAAATCACCTGAGGAACTCAGAGAACTCCTGATGCCCAGCTGGTGACTCAGAGCAACTAATTCAGGATGCCTGAGGGTAGGACTCAGACATCAGTATTCTTGTATGTTGACCTTGTACCCTCCATCTTGCTGAATCCATTTATTAATGCTAATAGCTTCCTTTGTGTTACACATCAGTAGTTTTAAAACTCCCCAGGTGATAGTGTGCAACCATCTTTTACAACCAATAACCTAGATCAGTGGTTCTGAACCAGGGCAGTTTTGCTCCCAAGGGACATTTGACAATGTCTGCAGACACTTTTGGTTGTCACAACTGGGGCCAGGGAGTGTTACCAGGATCTAGTGGATGGGCCAGGGGTGCTGCTAAATATCCTATACTGCACAGGGCAGCCCTCAGAGAATTATCTGGGCCCAAATGTCAGTAGTGTTGGGGTTTAGGAACCCTGACCTTGATCCTTGATGCTTCAGTGTTATACAGGAATCAGTAGCATCGGTGCCACTGGGCAGCTTGTTAGATATGCAGAATCTCAGGCCCCACCCTGTTGTTGTTGTTGTTGTTGTTGTTATGTGCCATCGAGTCCACCCGACTCATAACGACCCCTCCTTGGGTTTCCGAGGCAGTATCACTACGGAAGTAGATTGCCCAGCCTTCCTTTCGAGGAATGGCCCTAGACCTGCTAAATAAGAATCTACATCTTAACAAACTTCACAGATGATTTGTGTGCACTTAAACATGTACAGAGGCCTGGTTTAGACCATTTCTAAGGTCCCTTCCAAGTTGAAGGGCTCAGGGTGTGGAGGCAATGAGTCGTTGACAAGAACATGGGTTTTGTGTTGGAACAGGCTGGGCAGACAGGTGAGCCAGCTGGGGATGAAGGCAAGTCAGTGGCATTTTCCCTGCTAAGCAGTTTCTTTCCTCTGAGTGATCCTGGAGGGGAGAGGACAGGGCTTTTGGTCTGCCACACTCACCCTCTTCCTCTGTTTTTTCCCACAGGCCTTGGTGATTACCAATTCAGCCAGAAAGTCCTCCACAGTCGGAGAGATCGTCAATCTCATGTCTGTGGATGCCCAGCGGTTCATGGACTTGGCCACGTACATTAACATGATCTGGTCAGCCCCTCTGCAAGTCATCCTTGCTCTCTACCTCCTGTGGCTGGTGTGTGTTTGCCATCACCCCATGTGTGGGCACTGAGGGTGAGGGAGGGGTATCTGTAGCTCCCTGGTATTTCTTGTTGTCATTCACATTTTATTTTCTGGCTTGTTTGCCAATCCCTCTATTCCTTCCTTGAGTTGTCTAGTTTATTGTTCCCTTTGATAGCAGGATGGTTGTTTGTGTTTGTCGTGACAGTGATTGTCATTTACAACCCTACAACATACACATCATATTTCTCCCACTATGGCCTCTCAAACTCCAGCCAAACCCATTTATTCTCTAGTCTCTAATTGTGTTGGTTAAGATTCTCTTCAAGGGATAGAATCCAACTTAAAATAGCCCCTACTCAACTAAAGGAAAAATTAAGGGTCCACATAATTGACAAGTTCAGAGAATGCAAGCTTCAGGCATGAGCAGATCTGGGAGTTAAAGCAAAGTTCTAAGTACCGGGTCTCTCTCTCTCATCACTCCTGGCCCTGTTTTCCTCTGAGTTGGTTTAAATGAAACCATTTTCAGGTGTGATTTCTCTAAATAGCTTCCATAGCTTTAGGCTTAATATCATCATTATAGATGACAATTCTGGATAAAAGAGAATACCACTCCTTTTGCCTCAGCCAGAGTACCAGGGAGGACTTGAATTGGCTGCTGCAGTCCTATTCATATCCCTGAACTAATCACTGTTGGCCAGAGGGCAGAGTTCTCTGATTGGCCAACCTGGGTCACATACCTTTTGTCATTGTTCAAGTGGGGGAGATGTTGTGATTGACAGGTCTTTCAGGTGGGCAGGGGCAGTTCCCTCCCAAAAAAAGATGATGAGCAAAGATGCTTATATTACACCTGCCTTATTCTTCCCCATCTCTGAGCCTTTACACATCTTTCCTTCCTCCCTATAGCTGAAATCCCACCTATCTTTCAAGGCCTGTGATAAATGCCACTTCCACTGTTTTTTCCCCTCAGGCAGTTGAACTTCCCCCCTTTTTTGAATCCCCAGAGCTTTAGTGTAGGATCTCGCCTGATCTTACCTTCTGAAATAGTCCTTTGCATGCTTGGTGTACTGCCTCTCATTAATGCTTAGCACGTGACCTGCTCATGGGCAGGTAGCACCTTATTTATTTTTGTATTATCTGTGGGGGCAGGCCCAGCAGGACTCATGCATAATAGGAGCACAACAAATGGTCTGCTGATTTGACTCTTTGTTTTGGTTCTCTAGTGCTTCTCTAACAAAAATTCCACAAGTGGATGGCTTTAACAGAGATATATTCTCTTACAATTTAGGGAGCTAGAGGCTCAAGTTCAAGGTGCCAGCTCTAGGGGTTGGGTGAAGGTCCATCGACCATGGGCTACAGCTCTGCCTTTTGCTTCTGGCCCACTGAAGCTAGAGGCTTCTCTTAACTCAGACAGCTGTTGGCTGACAAACCCAAGGTTGACAAGTAAAATGGCACAGTCCCATGATTATCAAGCACCATGGCAAGCCACTAGTTAAACAGTCCCAAGATTGGCAGACAACATGGCAGACCACTGATGGCTTGGCCAAATTCAGAATCCAGATGTGCCAGGAAGCTCAGAGACTGTCCTCAAAGCAGCTTCTTTTATGCTGGAAGCAGACCACATCCCTAAGGCAGCTACTGAGGTGCTCAGAGTAGATTCTACCATGGAGTTGATTACCAGTCTCATCATGGAGAGTAACAACATCCAGCTGCCCAGCCACTCAAAACCAGGCCCAGTCAAGTTGACACATAACATTAACTACCACATAGTTGTTTACATTTTTAGTGTATTTATAGAGCATAAAGTGAATAATCATAACATCTTTCCAATAGCAAAACTTAGGGGAGAAAACACTAGAATGTGAATTTCCTAACGAGTATCCTTTCAAGCAGACATCTTGGGGTGTCCACTCCTTGGGAGGTGCTGTCATGGCTACAGGTAGTTTTGGGATACTTCTTTCAGAATTTCCTCCAGTGTGGGTTTGTGAGCCATTGAGAAAATTGCTTAGCATCACACTTTGTTTAGACAAAGTTGGGTTGCCAAAGCTCAGCACTGTTGACATTTTGGTTCACATTGTTGTGGGGCTGTCCTGTTGTGCGTTGCAGGATATTTGGCAGTATCCCTGTCCTCTATCCTTACGTGTAGTAGCATCCCTCACCCCAGTGTGACAACCAAAAATGTCTCCTCACTTTGCCAAATGTCCCTGGGGAGCAAATTCATCCTTGGTTGAGAACCATAGCTTTGGATGAAAAATGATTTCTTTGACCATTACATGGTGTGGGCATACCTCATTTTATTGTGTTTCGCTTTATTTTGCTTTTTACATATTGAAGGTTTGTGGCAACCCTGCATCAAGCAAGTCTCTCAGCACCATTTTTTCCCAACGCTTGTGCTCAGTTTGTGTCTCTGTGTCACAGTTTAGAAATTCACAGTATTTCATGCTTTTTAATAATGCTGTCACACACTTAATAGACTATAGTGTAAATATAACTGTTACATGCATTGGGAAACCTGAAAATTCATGGGACTTGCTTTGTTGAGCTTGTTTGGAACTGGACCACAGCATCTCTGAGGCATGCCTTTAAAGGATGGTAGATGGAACCCTACTGGTCTCCTAGTCATAGTGACCCTATGCACAGCAGAACGAAACACTGCCCAGTCTTTTGCCACCCTCACAATCCTTGCTATACCTTAGCCCATCATTGCAGCCACTGTGTCTGTCCATCTCCTTGACGGCCTTCCCCTTTTTCGTTGACCTTCCACTTTACCAAGCATGATATCCTTCTCCAGGGAGTGGTTCCTTCTGACAACATGACCAAAGTGTTTTGTATATGTATGAATATACATATATATGTATTAGAATATTTATTGTGTTTTCAGTGAAAGTTTACATAGCAAATTAGGTCCCATTTTACAATCTTTATACAGTTATATAATTGTTCAGTGACATTAAGGCTGGCTCTATGTTATCTTTTTTTTGCCCGACCCCTTTTTAACTTTCTAAAATACTGAAGTTCTAATTTGCAAGGCTAATCCGTCCCTGAAAGTTTCAAATAAAGATTGTGGACCTGCATCTTCTAAAAGGGGTTGGAGAGATGCTTGGGAATAAATTTGCAAACTTATCATCCCACTGCTGGAAAAAAGTCATGACACCTGTCCTGAACTTCCTCGACTGGGTTGGTATGGGGTCGATCAGACCGTTGACCTCTGTTCAGGCCCTTGTTCTCTCCTGTCTGATGATTGGTTATGAGTCTCCTTACCTTCCTCAGAACCTGGGCCCATCTGTCCTGGCTGGATTGGCTGTAATGATCCTCATGGTTCCCCTCAATGCTGTGATGGCAATGAAGACCAAGACCTACCAGGTAGGGTGTCTGTCTTTGCGGAGCTCCAGCTGGGCCCTTACCTGAAGCCTTTCTGCGTGGGTGTTAAGTGAGTTCCTTCTGAGGTTCTCAGATTTGCCTGCGGGTTGGAGTCACCTGGGGAGCTTTTACAAATACAGATACGGGCCCTGCCCCTGGATTCTGCTTCCTGTAGTGTGGGTTGGCCTGGGTGTTGGGATTTTTACAGCTTCCCAGTGATTCCAATGGGCAACCAAGGTTGAGGGCTCTTGGGTTAGAGCTAGTAGGTCAGTGATTAAAGTCACAATGTCTGTGAGCCTTAACAGACTCTTTATCTCCAATGGAATTGGTTCACTTAATGTTTGTATGTATGTGAGGCGCCCTGGTGGCATAGTGGTTAAATACTTGGCTGCTAACTGAAATGTTGGCGGTTCAAACTCACCAGCATTCTGCTTCTATAATGATTACAGCCTTGGAAATCCTCTGAGGCAGTTCTTCTCAGCCCTACAGAGTCGCTGTGAGTTGGAATTGACTCGCTGGCAATGGGTTTGGTTTTGCTGTATATGTATGTGTGCTTACAAAGCTGAGTAAAAAGTTTTCCCTGTTAAGCTCTTACCTCGTGCTAGGCGCTGTGTAAAACTGCATTTTTAGAGATTATTTGGATTTTTAAAGTTTAAAATATGTAATTAGTAGAGTGAATGCCTCATTTGAACACATTGAATCAAATCTTCATAGAACTTTTTATATACTTATCTATGTGGTTGTTGTTGTTAAGTGCCTTCGAGTCATTTCCACCTCATAGCGACCCCATGCACAGCAGAACGAAACACTGCCCTATCCCGTGCCAGCCCCACAATCCGTGCTATACTTGAGCTCATCATCGCAGCCACCGTATCAATCCATCTCGTTGAAGGCCTCCCCCTCTTTCGTCGACCCTCCACCCTACCAAGCATGACATCCTTCTCCAGGGAATGGTCCCTTCTTACAACATGACCAAAATAGGTGAGACGAAGTCTGGCCATTCTTGCTTCCAAGGAGCATTCTGGCTGCACTTCCTCCAGGACAGATCTGTTAGTTCTTTTAGCAGTCCACGGTACTTTCAGCATTCTTCGCCAGCACCACAACTCAAAAGCATCAACTCTTCTTCGTCTTGCTTATTCATTGTCCAGCTCTCACATGCATATGAGGCGATTGGAAATATCATGGCTTGTGTCAGGCGCACCTTAGTCCTCAAGGAGATATCCTTGCTACTTACCTATGGATCTGATTAACTGTGTAACTGTGTTTGGGGGGTATGTGTGTGCTGTTGTGGTATTATTCCTATAAGGTCTGCAGTGTGTTTGCGTATGCTTTTGTGGTATTATTTCTATGTGTGTTTTTACACAGATGGGCTTGTTCAGTAGTGTCATTTTGTCATTTCACACCAAGTCTCAGGGATCATTCTGTGTCATGCCATTCAATCTGACGTCATTCTCTTGAGTGAAGAATGACTGCTGTAGAGGTGGACACTGGTTTATTTCTCTGTTCCCTTGTTGATGGATAGTCATGATGGGCCTATGGAATGTCAGATGAAAGCACTTGGGTGCCCTGCTGGCACCATAGGGGTGATGAGTTCCAGGGTGTGGGTCTGGTGGAATGAGCATCCTCACCAGGTAGGGATGAGGGGACTGACAAAGAAGGGGCTTGGCCTGGTCACATTTTGTCATCTTGATGTGTAGGTTGCCCTGTGCAGCTTGCCTCTGAAACAGCTTCATTTTTTGAACTGATGTTTCCTCATCCTGACCCTACTGATAGGCTTGTTGTATTGCATTAAATGACTGACTGCATTAAAGATGCTTAGAACAGTGCCTGGCAGATGGAAAACGCCAGGTGATATTAAAAATGTTTAACAACTGTATGCCATTGGCATCCTCCACTGGAACCAGAGAACTAGTGCCAGCTGGCATGGAAACAACCTAGTATTTTAACAGTCCTGGACTGGATAAAAACCAATAAAGAAAAATGAAAATGAAGAGAAGAATCACATCTTCCCTGTGTTTGGATCAGTAGAGTTGGGCCCACACCCCTTTAGTCAGTCCTTGACCGCCCAAAAGTTTTTCTTGCCTTTACCTATTGACCTTTAAGTTTAATAGGTTTCCCTTAACATCTGCCTTAACCTGATTCAAAGCAGGAGTGATCTCAGGAACTCTGGTAGCATGATGGTTAAAGCACTTGGCTGCTAACCAGAAGGTCCATGTTTGAATCCACTAGCCGTTCTGTAGGAGAAAGGTGTGACAGTCTGTTTCTGTAAAGATTTACCCCCTTGGAAACCATATAAACCATATGGTTCTACCCTGTCCTGTAGGGTTGCTGTGAGTTGGAATCAACTCAACAGCAGTGGGTTTGGTTTGGGGTTTGGAATGCTCTCTAGTCTATACAATTCACAGAGAGTATATAACCAGTTGCCGTGGAGTTGGTTTTGACTCATGGTGACTCCATGTACGTAAGAGTGGAACTGTGCTTCATGGGGTTCTCGGTGGCTGATTTCTGCACACGTAGATCACCAAGCCTTTCTTCTGAGGCACCTCTGAATGAACTCAGACCTCCACTTTTCAGTTAGATACTGAGCTGTTAACCATTTGCCTCAACTAAACTCCTAATAGAGATTACAGTCAGTTTTCTTACCATTGTGAAGACCTGTTTTTTTTTTTTTTTTAATTGTGATTTGGGTGAAAGTTTATAGAGCAAATTCACTTTCCATGCAGCAGCTCTCATACGCTTTGTCTCATGACACTGACCACAATTTCCCACAATGCAACAGCTCCCCTCCTACTTCCTCCCCATAGTTACCCCTTCCCTGTGTCCATCCCTCCATGCACTCCTGCCCCCTGAGCTGTCTCTTTGTGCATAAACAGCCCTTCTATTCTCCTATGATTGTTCTCTCCAGGGAGTGTATTTACCTAATGCAAATGTTCAGCTCATATGCCTGTCTTTTGTTTGACTGGAAGCCACAGGAGTGGGTTCAATTCCAGACCTGAAGGGCAGCTAGGTAGGGGCCATAGTCTTAGTTGTTCCATCAGGCTCTATCAGACGAGGAAACCTGGTCCTTCTTTTATTTTTTTAAAGATTCTGAGTTTTGTTCCACATTGTTCTCCCACTCTTTCCAGGATCTCCTACATAGATCTCCTTCTGAGTGGTTGATAGTGGTAGCTGGGTACCATCTAGTTCTTCTGGTCTCATAGTCGTAGAGGCTGAGGATCACATGGTGTACCACTTGGTGAAGACCCATTTTAGTAGCTGATGATGTCATGTCATGCTGCTGTATGGATTATTAGGAAACCTGGCTCAAGAGCCAGAAGTGAGTGGCCAGCCCCCAGATGCGGTGTTGATAGGTTGTCCTTCTCTTCCAAGGTGGCTCACATGAAGAGCAAAGATAATCGGATTAAGTTGATGAATGAAATTCTCAATGGGATGAAGGTACTGAAGCTTTATGCTTGGGAGCTGGCTTTCAAGGAGAAGGTGTTGGCTATCAGGCAGGAGGAGCTGAAGGTACTGAAGAAGTCTGCTTACCTGGGAGCCTTGGGGACCTTCACCTGGGTCTGCACACCTTTCCTGGTGAGTAAAACCACATTTATCCTGGCCCCACATTGTTTTATATTTTATATTATGTTCATACATAAATATTTTTAAGAGGTCACTGTCTCAGAAGGTTTCTCTCAGCAACCTTTTTAAAATACTACCTCCCCTTTTACTTTTGACTGCAGTAAATATATATGTGGCAAAACCTTTATTCACAGCACTTGATACCGCCTAGCCCAGGAATGTTGTTGTTGTTAAGTGCCGTCGAGTCGTTTCTGACTCATAGCGACCCCATACACAGCAGAACGAAACACTGCCCGATCCCGCGCCAGTCCCACAATCCCTGCTATACTTGAACCCATCATCGCAGCCACCGTGTCAATCCATCTCGTTGAAGGCCTCCCCCTCTTTCGTCGACCCTCCACTCTACCAAGCATGACATCCTTCTGCAGGGAGTGGTCCCTTCTTACAACATGACCAAAATAGGTGAGACGAAGTCTGGCCATTCTTGCTTCCAAGGGGCATTCTGGCTGCACTTCCTGCAGGACAGATCTGTTAGTTCTTTTAGCAGTCCATGGTACTTTCAGCATTCTCTGCCAGCATCACAACTCAAAAGCATCAACACTTCTTCAGTCTTCCTTATTCATTGTCCAGCTCTCACATGCATACAAGGCGATTGGAAATATCATGGCTTGTGTCAGGCGCACCTTAGTCCTCAAGGAGATATCCTTGCTCCTCAGCACTTGATACAATTCCTTCACAGTTGACTTTCCCAATGCTACACGTCGTCTAATATCCTGACTGCTGCTTCCGTTGGCATCGATTGTAGAACCAAACAATGTGAATTTTTTGACAACCTCAATCTTCTCTCCATTTATTGTGATGCTGCTCATTGGTCCAGTTGTGAGGATTTTTGTTTTCTTTATATTGAGACGTAATCCATACTGCAGACTGTATTCTTCAACCTTCATCAGTAGATGCCTTAAGTCATCCTCACTCTCAGCAAGCAAAGTTGTATCGTCTGCATATCTCAGGTTGTTAATGATTGTTCCTCCAATCCTGATACCACGTTTTTCTTCATATAGTCCAGCTTCTCGGATTATTTGCTCAGCATATAGATTGAATAAGTGTGGAGAAAGGATACAACCCTGACACACTCCCTTCTTGATTTTAAACCATGTAGTGTCCCCTTGTTCTGTTCGAATGACAGCCTCCTGCTCAAGGTACAGATTCCTCATGAGTACAATCAAGTGCTTGGGAATTCCCATTCTTCTCAATGTTATCCATAATTTGTCATGATCCACACAATCAAATGCCTTTGCATAGTCAATAAAACACAAGTAAACATCTTTCTGGTATTCTTTGCCTTGAGCCAAAATCCATCTGACGACAGCTATGATATCCCTTGTTTCACGTCCTCTTCTGAATCTGGCTTGAACCTCTGGAAGCCCAGGAATACTCATAGCCAATTCAGGAACTCTTAGTTACAGGTCTACTTGAGATAGGATTTTGTACCAATGTAAACCAGTGCTCTCTACTTCCTTCATGAGGAAAGTCTTGCTTTGAAAACAAAGTGTTAGCTGAACTGTGTGGCAAGGTTGGTATTGTGCTTGATCTACATTTTGGTGCTGGCTCCTTATCTCTTTGCCAAATGGTCACAAACTGTGGGTTGACAGTGACCCATGAACCACACTTTGAGTAGTTCTGAACACACTGACGTTTACTTACATATTGGGTTTATTGTCTCTTTCTCCGTTAGAATGTCAACTCCAGGAGGGCAAGTACTTTTGTTTTTCTGTTCACTGCTGCATCCTCAGTGCCTAGAATAGTGCATAGTAAGTGCTCAACAAATACTTGTTGGTTGTGTAGAAACAAACAAACAATACTAAAAGCTATAAAATGAGAAATATGTTCTCCTCCCTTCCTTCTGCTATGTAGTCCCTCTCCTCCAAAGTGATGGTTTTTATGTATCATTCCAGAAAAAATGTTTATGCACATAGATATTTTTAAATAAATTCAAATGGAGCCATACTATGCAAGTGTTCTGGATCTGTTTTGCTTCATTCATTCATTTTAATGAAGCATCCTTTCTTGTTTCAGGGATGTGCTGTAGTTCACTTAACCTGTTTCCCATTTGTTGGCCATTTAGGTTTGTTCTCATCTTGTACTTTTTTTATCTTTGCTGCAGAGAATACACCAGCACATGGTCCTGGATTACTTTAATGGGTCTATTCCAAAGTTGGCTGGCTTTGAAATTTCAAAGACAATAATGCAAGCCCTTGTTTTACAAAACTGGCCTCAAACCAGGGGAGTATGTAAAGATGGAATATGGAAACCCTTTCAGCATAGTTGATAACAGGTTAAAATCATTAAGGATTGCTTATACCTGTGTTTGTTTTTTGCTTTTTGTATTTAAAGTATTAGGTTATTATGTTGTTTTTTTAAAATATTATGCTAATAATGACTGACTTCTTAGTAGTGTTGAAAATATAAATTCTTCTGGGAAATTATTATGAACTGACATCACACATTTTCATAAATACGCAGTCACATCTGAGTTGCAGGTGGAATGCTTAAGGAGCACTCTGAATGTTGAATGCTTGCCTTCTGATGCAAGATTTTGTCAGGCTCAGCCTGATGTCTCCCAGAGCCAGAACTTGTGCTTAAGAAGCTGTGGTGGAGAGCAGTGCTTCTCAACTTTGAACATGGGCTAGAATCACCTGGCAGGCTTGTTGGTTTTTTGTTTGTTGTTTTTTAAAAATATTTTTTTTGTTGTTGAGAACGTACACAGCAAAACATACACCAATTCAACAGTTTCTACATGTACAGTCTGTGACACTGATAACATTTTTCCATTGTGAACCATTTTTACCCTCCTTTTCTGAGTGGCTCCTCCCTCATTAACATAAACTTACTGCCCCCTAATGCTTCTATTGAACCTTTTGAGTGGCTGTTGTCACTTTGATACAATAGAGATAGTTCTTAAAAGAGCATAGTGCTCAAGGCAGACATTTTTTACTAGTTAAGCTCAACAGTTGTTTGGTGTTAAGAAGACTTCAGGGGATATATTTGGTTTAAGATTGACAGATTATCTAAGGGCAGTAGTTTTGAGGGTTCATCTAGTCTCTGTGGCTCCAGAAAGTCTGGATTCTTCAGGGATTTGAAATTCTGTTCTAAATTTTTCCCCTTTTGATTAGTGTTCTTCTGTAGATCTTTATGTATTTTTTAAATTTTATTTTGTTGTTGAAAATGTAAAGAGCATAGTGCCTGAGGCATCTGACTGCTAACCAGAAGGCTGGCAGTTCAAACCCATCAGCCATTGAATGGAAGGAAGATTGGGCAATCTACTTCTGTAGAGATTGTTGTTGTTAGGTGCTGTTGAGTCACCTCCAACTCATAGCAACCCCTGCACAGTAGAATGAAACACTGCCCGGTCCTGTGCCAGCCTCACAATCCTTGCTATACCTGAGTCCATCGTTGTAGCCGCTGTGTCAGTCCATCTCATTAAGGGCCTTCCCCTTCTTTGCTGACCCTCCACTTTACCAAGCATGACATCCTTCTCCAGGGAATGGTTCCTTCTGACAACATGACCAAAGTAGCTGAGACAGAGTCTGGCCATTCTCACTTCCAAGGAGCATTCTAACTGCACTTTTTGCAGGACACATTTGTTAGTCCTTTTAGCAGACCATGGTACACTTAGCATTCTTCTCCAACACCACAACTCAAAAGCGTCAATTCTTCTTCAGTCTTCCTTATTCATACAAAAAGCTATAAAATGAGAAATACGTTCTCATGCCCTGGGGGGCAGAATTACCCCTGTTGAGAACCTGTGCTCTATAATGAAAAACATGGTTTCTTCCCTCCCCAAGATCAGGTTGGTCACCTTACTCCTCTCCATGCACCAATTTCTTCTGTATATTTCCAAAGTCTGTATTTTTACATTTCTGTATTTCCAAAAGATTTCAAAGGGCAGCTCAAGAAGACAAAATAAAATATTACAATGAAATGTGCAAAGACCTGAAGTTAGAAACGCAAAAAAGGAAGAACTTACTTGACATTTCTCAAGCTGAAAAAATGGAAGAAAAAACTCCAGCCTCTAGTTGTGATATTGAAGGATTCTATGAGGAACAATTCAGTGATGCAGGAAGCATGAAAAGAAGATAGAAGGAATACCCAGTCACTGTACCAAAAAAAGCTATGGTGGCACAGTGGTTAAGATGTTCCTTTGGCTGCTAACGAAAGGTCAGCAGTAACGACTCTACCCACCAGCTGGTGCATGGGAGGAAGTCTGCTTCCGTGAAAGTTTCTTGGAAACCCTACAGGGCAGTTCTGCTCTGTTATATAGGGTTGCTGTGAGTTAGAATTAACACAATGGCAGTGCTTTTTGGATATCAGAAAGAGCTCTGGTGGTGCTATGGGTTTGGCATTTGGCTGCTAACCAGAAAGTTAGCAGTAGGAACCCACCAGCTCCTCTGTGGGAAAAAAGATGAGGCATTCTGCTTCTGTGTAAAGATTTACAGCCTTGGAAACCCTGTGGGGCATTTCTACCCTGTCCTTTAGTGTCACTATGAGTTGGAATCAACTTGATGGCAGATTGGTTTTGTTTGATACCAAGAAGAATCAGTCAGTGTTTAACCATTTCAGGAGTTAACATATGATCAAGAAGCTATGGTACTAAAGAAAGAAGTCCAAGTTGCACTGAAGGCATTGCCAAAAGCAAGGTTCCAGGAATTGACGGAAAACTAACAAATGGATGCAATGCTGAAAGCACTCACTAATCTGGCAAGAAGTTTGGAAGACAGTTACCTGGCCAGTCATCTGAAAAGATCCATATTTGTGCCCTTTTCAAAGAAAGGTGATTAAACGGAATACAGAAATTATCAAACAGCATCATTAATATCGCATGCAAGTAAAATTTTGCTGAAGATAATTGAAAAATGGTTACTGCAGTACATGGACAGAGAACTGCCAGAAATTCAAGCCACATTCAGAAGAACATGTGGAATGAGGGATATCATTGCTGACGTCAGATGGAT